CTGCTCTCTCCCTCTCTCTCTGTCAATAAATAAACAAATAAAAAAAATATGCAGGTTTCTACGCCCTATGGCCAAAGTCTGGGCCAAGAAGTCTTGGGAGGGACTCAGATGTGATGATTTTAAGTTTTGAGCCACTAGCAGTGACCGTGAGCATCTGGAGGACAGCGACGGTGTCTCTTTCACCTTCGAACCCCAAGAGGTAGCACAGAAACGCCCCTCACAGCACACACCGAACCAGAGATGCTGACTGAACTGAACCCAACCCAAAAGAAGGAGTGGGGAGAGGGGAGGCTAAAACACGCAGGAGAGACAGATAATTCAAATGCTACTTCTCCACCGACAGTTTTGAAAGACGTCCCCCTCCCTTCCATACTCAGCCCATGCAGTAAAAGCAAACAAAACAAAAAACCAAAAACCACACATATGCACAAAAATACCTCGGTTCAAACTCTCCCTGCCTAGAGCACAAGCCACGGAATTCACCGCTGTGCACTATCCCGTGAGAAACGCAGATAGGGGTGGACGGGTTTCCAAGGAGCCAGAACTCAGCTCTGCGGAAACCTGTGGAAGGACCCCGAGGAGGAGATGCAGACAAGGCATGAACGAGGCTGGGAAACCCATCAGCACGTTCCTGCAGCTGAATCTGTAGTCAGCAGACAATACGTGGATGGTGCTGACATCCGACCACTTAGAACGAAACTCCATTCCGCGCTCATGAACCTATTAGATGAAAAGTCCTCAATTCAGATAACTGCAAATTGCTTTCTGAGCATAATTTCCTATTAGTTCGCTAATCTCTCTATTCAGAACGCCAACAAGACAGCTGATGATGATTCCGGAGGAAGTGGCCATTAAGCCGAGGCAGGAGGAAAGGGGGTTAGACGTTCACAAGTATCCTGGCTTCCTGGGTGGGGGGGGGTACCCCAAAATTAATCCGTGAAGTTAGTAACAGTATTAGCTTTCGTTTATGAAGTTCTTATAATGTGCCAGGTACAGACTGAGCATTTTACCTTACGTATTAGCTCACTTAATTTTTGTTTTGTTTATTTGTTTGTATTTTTGTTGTTTTTTTAAACAGTCGAGTGAGGTAGATATTTTTTGGACAGGAGAAGAAATGGGGCTCAGAAGTGGTCACACAGCTATTCGTGGAAGAGTCAGGATTCAAATGCAGGCGTGTGTGTCTGACCTACAGCCTGGGTTCCAGTCATGCCTTATCTGTTTGGCTTATCACACAAATATTACCGGAGAGACGATGATGAAGAAGAATCAAGTTTATAGGACTGAGGCCAAGAGATGAAACACGGCACAAAAGCCTGAAAAATAGTGAGCAAAGATCGACCAGTCTGTAAAAACAAAAAACAAAAAAAACAAAACCACAAAAAAACAACAAAAGCCCCAAACACAAACCTCATGTGCTGAAATGTCAGGCTGGAAAAGAAAGCTTGATGTTGGCAAACTACCACTTTTTTGTAGAGCAGTGGTCCCAGGACCAGCAGCATCAGCTGCACCAGGGAACTTACCGAAATGCAAATCCTGGGGCTCCACCCCAGACCTGCTGCGTCGGAGACTCTGGGGCGGGCCCGGGAATCTGTGTTTTAACACACCCTCTAGGGGATTCTGATGCACACCCGAGTTTGAGACCCGTTATCTAGACAAAGAAAATCAGCTCTAACAGGGAATTTGGAGACCACCCAGAGGAGTGCTTCTCAGACCTTAATGTGTGCAAGAATCACCAGGACAGTGATTAAATTGCAGAGTCTCTTAAATTGCAGAGTCTGGTGCAGCAGGTCTGGGCACGGTCTGAGAGTCTGCATTTCTAAACAGCCCCCAGGTGCTGCTGCTGCTGGCCCAGGGACCACTGTAGAGTCACCAGGGTCCAATCCAATCCTTTTCACCCAGGGAGTTTCTAGCAACAACAGAACCAACATTGCTTTAGGTTTAAAAAACAAACAACAACAACAACAAAAAGAACAAGCAAACTAAAAAAGTCATTGCCTTCAGGGCAGATTCAAATCCATGGCTCTGGAATGCTTCCGGAGAACAGGAAATGTCCATTGCCACCCTCACTGCTTTTCCAAAGTTCCGGTTCAAGTATAAAGTCTTCCCTGAGCACTTGAATTAAAATCTTAGCCCTAAGCCCGGCCCTTCCCCTCTTCCTTCACTGCTTCCTTCTTCTCTTTAGTTTCTGGCACCCTCTGCACAGATGATCTATTTTACTGGGTTGCTTACTGTCCCTCCCCTCCCCTAGCACGTAAGGTCCAGGAGGGCAGGGGTTTTGTGCGTTTTATTCGCTGTGATCTCCCTGCTGCCTAGAAGAGCTCCTGGCACATTTATGGAGTAGCTGCTCATAAACAGCTGAGTAAACGAACAAGCAGTTCTGCCCATTTTTTTCTAAAAAGCTGCCTCCCCATTCTCCGTGCCCCCTCGGTGCAATGCCATCTGTCACTCTCTTTATCCATGCACTTCAGTCCCCCCCGAAATCCACTTCTCTGTAGGTGCGTCTTTCCCTAAGCCCCTTGACGACGGCGTCTGTGCGTTCCCCGTTTCTGTCCCCAGTCCAACCCTTCTGTCAGCCCATCAGTGCGTCCCAAATTTTGCCCATCTTCAAAACCACGCAAAAACTGCAGGATTTGGTTCATGGAAGAGTGAATCCAAACTTCAGCTGGTGACAGCAGTAAAAATAAAGCCAGCTCATAATTACGTACTAGAGATAGCTCTAAGCTCTGTTGTAGTTAACACAAGTTCAAAATGGTTGTCGTTACACAAGTGTCAAAAAAAACACCGGAAGCATGTCGGAACGTCATAGCAACTCCGGACTCTGCTTCCACTGCTCCAGCAGCTTTTCTGAGAGCTGAGCAAAGTGGTAAGATCGACGGTAAAATCCAAACGTGGCTGGGATGCTGCCTCTTATCTAGCCATCTCTGCGCAAGGTGGAGTGAGGAAGAACGTTCTCTGACGAAACACCGTGATCGAGGGCAAGAACATTCCACTGGCTCCTTCCAGTAGCTCTATTGAGGGCACCAGCGTCAACCCACTTTGCAGACCAGAAAACTGAGTCGCGACAGGACAACAAGCCTCTCGCTCAAGCTCATACAGAGAATGCAGCAGTTGAGCTGGGGCTCAAACTCAGGTCTGGCTGCTTCCAAAGCCTGTGCTTCTCCCCCAGGTATCCCCCACCCCCACCGCCGCCACCCCTTCCCCAGAGGCCTCCCCCAACCCTTGGCAGGGTCTGAGTCTTTGTTCATTACTTCTGGAACAGAGAACAGGAGCAAAGGCCACCTCAGAGTTCCGCCTCTAGGGCTGAAAATTAAATGGCTCAGGAGGTGTTCAGCCTCACGGACTCCTGGCTGCGTCCCTGTCACCTAATTACCCGACTTCAAAGCCTCCACTCCGCAGGTGTGAGGATGTGAGGGCTGCCGCTTCCCCTCAGAACACGGTGTGACTACGCATGGATAAGACAGCCCCCCCCACCCCCCCCACCCCCGCCCCGAGCAGCTGGGGTATGGGACACATCAGACAGCCTTCAAGTTGGACCCCACCGCCTGGCCTTGGAGTCAGAAAGCCCAGAGGCCACCATCCTGAGGGCTCACCTGAGAACCAGGGTCTAAGGAAGACCAAGGTGGGGACGTGTGCCTCCAGATGGTAATAGTCTCCCCACCTCGCCTTATGCCGCTGCTGCTGTCCGCTCCCCCCTCCCTCAAGGGACAGGATGTTGGGGGGCCTGAAGGAGCCCGAATGGGAGTTCCCAGCCTGGGCTGGACAAGGACAGAGGGACTCCTACATTCTCTGAAACTAAATGGCTCCTATAAAGCAGACGGAAAGATGCACTGAATATTACTGACAATTTTCTAGGGATTGGACCAGGGAGGTATTTCACACAGGCTTAGGGAGAGAGAGAGGGAGGCCAGGCAAAAAGGCACTTGTGACCTCTGACAGAGGACAGAGCTCAGAGGCTGGCACCGTGCTGTGTCCTTTCGTGATTTACTGAATGCTTACACCGGATTGGCCAGGTGTGACGATTATTCCTTTCGTGCAGATAAAGCGCGCGCGCGCACACACACACACACACACACACACACACACACACACACAGGCAGGAACAGAAAGGTGAGGTGAACTGCCCAAGGTCACACAGCAAGAGCATCACAGAGCCGGGATTTGAACCTATCTTACTCTGACTCCAGAGCCCATACTGGACATCAGCTTTATTCTGTCACCTCCCTGCCTTTTGCCAGCTGTGACCGGGAATGCGTGTGTGGAGTAGGGGAGGGTTGTGAGAGCTCGAGAGCGACATGATGCCACAGAAGGAAGGGGAGTTAGGGGGTCGGGGCCGTGTGCCCGCAGGCAGGTGACTTCCCCTTGCCGAGACTCAGCGTTCACATCTGTAAAATGGGGAGCATCAGAACACCGCCCAGCCCCCCCCCCCCCCCGCCCCAACAACGCAGAAGAGAAAAAATAAAGAGGAAAAGGACTTCACAAACTCTAACTCAGGAACTGGGAAACTAACTACAGCTGAGGAGCCAAAGCCAGCCGGCCGCGCAGTTATGGAAATAAGGTTTTACTGGAACAAATACATTGGTCACACCCGTTTGTTTACATATTGTCTCCGGTTGCTTTTGAGCTGCAAGGCCTGGCTGAGTGGCTGTAACAGAGACCCCTGGGCCCACCAAGTCTAAAATACTGACTATGCGGTCACCTAGAGAAAAAAACGGTGCCAACCCCTCATGTTAAATGCTGTGAATATGCAGAGTACCGCCGTGGCTCCACACACCCCGGTAAACATCTCCGGCACCATCCGTCCGCTTTGGTTTTCATTCACAATTGTGCTGCTTGACCCCTTGCCCAAAGGCAGAGGTTCACTTAGGACGCGGTTCTGAAACATAGGGCAAGCGATTCTCCCGAAAGCTAGGAAACCAAGCTTCCGCAAGCTAGTTCAAAGGCTAGCGTGGCTCTAGCTGACGTCAGGCACCCTGAAAACACTTCCTGGTGCAGCCACTTACTTGCAATTTTTACACTTGAGGCCAAAAAGCATTCCTTTTCCACAGACTGTGCACGTCTGAGACATCCAGTACTTGGTGGAAAACCTGCGGAAAAGAGACAGAAAACGTTCAGGGCCAAGGTGACGGTGACCCCCAGCTGTCTCTCAGGATGAACCACGTGAAGGGTGAGTGCACAGGCCCCGGGGTCCAGCCTGGCTTCTCCCGAGGAGCGTGACTTCATCAGGTTGTTTGGGCGCTGGAGCCTCAGTCTCCCGCTCTGTAAAGTGGGGATGGTAAGCAGGACCGGCCTCACAGGTGCTGGGAGGACGAAACAGGTTATGCGCGTCAAGGGGCTTCACAGCGCCTGGCACGTGGTCAGTGCTCACTCGATTGGGCTGGGACTCTACTGTCCCCTGGACATTCATGACAATCCTGCATTCGTTCAACAGGTATTGCCCAGTGGTCTGCTGTATGCCAACTTCAGTTCTGGGACAGAGTGACGGGTGGGGGGCTAGAACTGCCCTCAGAGGACCACAAGGCGAGGTGGAGCCTCCTGGGAGGCTGGCAGACCGGTGCCCCCTCTCTGCCAATCAAACCATCTGGGGAGCTTTGCTGGGGGCCTCCCCCCTGCCCCGAAGAGCCGAGGCCTCAAACGTGAGTAGCAGAAGAGTCTCTAAAGTGAAAACTCTTTTCAGACCGTCGGCTCATCTTCTCCCCCCACCCCCGCCCCCCCCCCACCACCACTTGTTGCCAACAGAAGGCAGTTTGGACGCCCCTGATATACAGCTGCCGGCCAGGAACAGAGGTGCCTACGATTAACTTCCAGGGGCTCCCGCGGCCGCTGGGGCGCTTTCTTCCCCCAAAAGATACCAGGCACTGGCCGGGCTGCCCGAGAAAAGTATTGCAGGTTGCCGGGTCAGAGTTAATTTTCGTTTTCAATTTTTGCCACTTTCAGCAGGAGTTGTAGCTAATCTCCACTGCCTCCGAGTGTCAAAATGAAAATCAGAAGTGATTATGTAACTTGGTGCTTGAGAATTTTGAGGGCAAGGTTGCAGCCCTCTGCTGCACCGACTTGCTTGATTTGGGTCAGTCACTCTCCAAGCCAGAGGAGGCGCAGCTCAAAGCCTCCATATGGAGGCAAATAGCAACATTCTGAACCGAGACTCTTGTGGCTAAGAAGACTCCCTCTCCAGTTCTGGACTGGGGGTTGGTTAAGCCTTTTTCTGCCCCTTCCACGGGGCCAGTGAGTTTGGCAGGGTCTACTTTATGGGATTTGGCAGCTCTTAGGAATGGTGACTGGGCTTGTGGTCCACCCCGCTGGCCAGCAGTGTGGGCATGGAGGGGAGGCGGCGTGAGCTTTGTAGCCGGGAGTTCTCTTTCCTTTCCAGTCCTCTCCCATCTCTGGGACCAGCTCTCTCTCTGAGCTCTGCCTGAGGTGACTCTGAGGACAGTGGATGGAATGGGATTTCAATTTCATTTCTTCACCAAGGCTGGGGTGAGTCTAGGTCTCCCGTCCTGGCATGGGGCCCGGGGTCACACTAAAGAGTAACAGGGCATCCCCAGTCCTGGCTCCACTAAGAAGACATTCCTGATGCCCAAGACCATCATCCTTCCTCTGAGAATCAGCATTCGAATATGAAGTACCACCAGATCTAAATTGCTAAAGCTGGGGGATGGGGCTGCGCCACCAGGGCAAGATGGAGCGAGGGGCACGGTCAATCCAGGGATGAAGCTTCGTCAGGGGTGTGGCCAATCCGGAGGTGGAGCTGATCAGGAGTGAAGCCAATCCAGAGGGGGAGCTGAGTCAGGGGTGAGGCCAATTCAGGGGTGGAGCTGAGCCAGGGGTGTGGCCAACCCAGGATAGAGCTGAACCAGAAGTGGTGTCAATCCAGGTGCGGAGCTGCGCAGGGGGCGTGGCCTATCCAGGGACGGGGCTGAGCCAGGGGCGGAGCTGAGCCAGGGGTGGGACCGATCCAGGGGTAGAACTGAGCCCGGGGTGTTGGGAAGCACACACAAAAAAAGGCCCTTCTTTTTGATGCCTTTCTCTCTGAGGCTCACGGCCCGACCACGGACGCGTCTATCACGTCTTTCTCACTGCTTCCTCCATTGTTTTCTCATTTGGGTCTTAACAACTATTCTGTCAACATATTTCTTTGAAAACCTGTTGACAAGGTGCCATTCCGGGAGACAGTGTGCTCATTCCTACCTCGGGCCCACCCGCCCATGGCGATATGTCTGCCCCTGGTACCGCCCCCCCCCCCCCCTTATAGCCCAATGCCACACACTGTCATGGTCTGTTAAGCATCTAGTCCTCGACTGCACCGCGAGCTCCCCAAGGGCTCCCGACGCCTTGCTCAGTGCTGAAACCAAGGCATGTAAATTCTCTACAAATACTGGTGCAAAGAATCCATGAATGAGTGAATGGGTCCCTCGGCTAGTTCCCAGACGCCTCTGGGTACATAGAAAGAAAACTCTGAGCAGCAGTGCCCAAAGAATACAGAGTGCCGAGGTCAATTAGCTTGTAGACCCATCCCTCAATCGTGCAGGGCCTCAGTTTCCCTATCTGTCAAATGGATATGATCACACTTGTGCTACTTACCCCAATGAGTTTGTGAAGAGACTGTGAGGGTAATGACATAAAACGTAGAAAGTTAAATCTGGAAAGTCAAAGAACTTCTTAGAAGGGATGTCTAGTAGATACAAGTGTCCTTCCTGACAGGACAGGTGTACCCCTGGTGAGGTTATTCCACGGACCCAACAGCTGGAGCTCTGGGCTGACCTACAGCTCACCAGAGAGTACCTCTGAGTTCAGAATTCAATCTTGTCTTCTGGGAGGGGAGACCCAAAATTAGGCTGTACAACATTTCTCTTGACAATGATACCGTTTACCGAGTGGTTATTATGAGCCCTTTGCTTAGCACTTTACATATATTATGTCATTGATCCTTATGACACCCTAAGGGTAGGCAGAATTATCTGATGAGAAAACCGAGCCTCAGAGAGGTTAAGTAACTTCCTTCTGGTTGCAAAGCTTTATTAGCCAGGATGCGAACACAGGACAATCTGACTCCAAATCCCTGGTTTTTAACCATTATGTGCTGGTTTTATAAGGGCCAGGTTAATAAGAAGCCGACATCTCAGTCCCCAGGGGGCACACTGAGGTCTCGCTTGGCAGAGGAGAGAGAGGCATGATGACATAGGAACTGAAGCAAAATATCTGCCTGGCCTTCCCCCACTCTGGGGGCCAGATATCTACCGGAGGTGGGTACCGGTGCCCACAGGAATCCAGCCTACCTGTGCTTAATGGAGTTGCCGAGGTCTCTACGAGGGATCTGCGGGGACCAGCGCGGCACGGACAGTGTGTCTGCAGGGAGAGAAGAGAGGAGAAGAGCCTGTTACACAGAGGATCAGAGTGGGGCGGGCTCCGGACAAGCCCGAGAAGGAAGAGGGAGGCTCTCCAGCTTCAGGAAGGACAGTGACCTACCACCATCACTTGCTAAACCAAAGCCAAATGGAACACTGGTTTAACACGTGTCACCTTGACTTCAGCAAGGTCCCCTGGGCAGGGCAACCAGGGAATGCCTTGAAAGAAATCAGCTGTGGAAAGAATAAAAATGAGCTCTGCTTCCATTTACAGAGTGCTTAGATTGTGCCAGGCATGTGTTAAGTGACTCACAGGCTTTAGTTCGTTACATCCTCAAAACCACCCCAAAGACAGGGGGTTGTTAGCATCCCCACCTTACAGACAATGAAACCGAGGCTTGGAGAAAGGACGTCATTTGTGCAAGATCATACATGTTGGAGGCTGCACAGCAATGCGGGTCCAGATTTGAGGGACTCTAGATCATATGCCCTTGTGTGCAAAGTTCCAATGCAGTAGATTTCCAAATGCCAGGCATGCACGTCCCACTTTCCCAGTCTTGTCGTGTCCTGTCCAGCCACAAAATTATTTTATTACTATTTTAAGTTAGCTCTTTTTGTTTAAACACACTTATGTTAAAAGCACACTCTATATAGAAAACTAGTATCACTTGCTGTATATTGTCAGTAACTATTTAAAACATGTCCAAACATGTACCATCTAAATAAACTCATGTTAAAATAGGTAGATGGATTGATGAGGAGTGGATGGATGAGGGGGTGGATGGACAGATGGATGGATAGAGGGGTTGGTAAGTGAGTGGATGGATGAATGGTTGGATACGTGGGTGGATGGTCAGATGAGTGGGTAGATGGACAGATGGGTAGGTGGGTGGTTGGCTAAATGAATGGCTGGCTGAATATCTGGATAG